AGAAATAGAAAAGAACGAGCAATTATAAACCGTTCATCCATAATTAATACTCATACTATTAACAGTTGCTCGTCTCTCTGATAATTTCAAATTATTTGCTCGAAATATTTTTGTACGAAGTAGAAAAATAAATAATTATTATTATAATCAGAAAATATATGTATATATATATATATATATATATTTGTATCACATATTTTTCATTACTAATATTACTTCTTCTTTTTACGCGAAAATAATACCTGAAACGAATATAACTTTAATAAACATAGATATGGAATGTAACGTAATATTCCAACACGTTATGAATACGAAAATACAGAAAACTCTCTGATAATTAACTTTTCTCACGTTCGATATTGTTTCTGAATTTACTTTAAACAACTTTCATTATTTTACCTTTTATTTTTATTTAGATTTTCTATCTTTAAAATTGCAAACTTAAATCTAATTTCTATTGCCACAAAATTTATGATGATCAATCGAAAGAGTCTTAACCCATTCAACTTTTTTCTGACCTCCGTTTTCTCAAAAAATTCTTCTTTATAATATTAAACAACTGCAATTACGTTACTGCACGCAACTCGACGGACATAAACAAAAAACTAAACGTTAAAAAAAAATAAATGATACATCCGCTCGTGCGTGTTTATAAAATGTCCGCATTACACAAAACGGAAACGTAAATGAAAGCAGAGAATTTAATGGCGTAATTAAATACGCGTCCTGGAACAAAGTTTTTATATATGCGAATATTTAAAAAAAACATCATATATTACTTTCGACTTGTTTTTATATATAAACTCACCAATCCCCACCAATGTTGAAGTTTACCGACGATTCAGATGCACCCTGTATGTATGTTTTCATCTATACATCGACGTTATGCAATATTACATCAGCCGAGAGCTCCTTACATAGTGTGTGTGTAAGTGTTGTGTATTTCTATCTATACATCGACGTTATTCGATGTTACACATACATCTAGGAACACCTCCAGTGTATGTTTGTATCAATACATCAACGTTGTTCGGTGTTGCATACATCCTGGGGCGCCGCGTGTATAGGCTTCCATCTATACACCGAAGTTTTTAGGTGTTGCATCTATCCAGGGGCACCCTACAAATATATATTCCATTTTTACACCGATGATTTTCGGTGTTGCATCTGTTCAGGGGCACCCTACGTGTATGTTTCCATCTATACACCGATGGTTTTCGGGGTTGCATCTATCCAGGGGCACCCTACGTGTATGTTTCCATCTATACACCGATGGTTTTCGGGGTTGCATCTATCCAGGGGCACCCTACGTGTATATTTCCATCTATACACCGATGGTTTTCGGTGTTGCATCTGTCCAGGGGCACCCAACATGTATGTTTCTATCTATACACCGGTGGTTTCAGATATTGCATATGTTCAGGTGCACCCTGCGTGTATATTTTCATCTACACATCGGTGTTATTCGGTTGCATTATTTCGATTAGCGTAAACATTTACAAGGTTTTCCTCTCTCTTACGTCAATTAATGAACGATCGTTCCAAGAAACGAATACGCATATACGTCTTTATTTATATAATGCAAACCACCTGCAATTAGGTCGGCATAAATGTCGGAAATATCTCGAATCAAATGATAATATATATATATATATATCTTTCTCTCTCTCTCTCTCTAGCAGAGAATTGTATTTGTGATGCGCACGCGTGATGTTCCCCTTCCATTTACGAAGATTAGTAATAATAATCACGTTTTATATATATATATATGCATGAGGAAAATGCAGTGACTGGTTTTTATCGTAACCAAAACTAATCGTCGCATTTTTGCGCTTATTATAGTTCTTCTTTCATAACGCGTTATTAAACATCGCGTGTACAATTTAATCGTGTTTGATAGTTCGTAAAAATAAACGGGACATCTGATTAACAATTCTTCCGACATTACAAAGATTGTAATTGTGAACTGTGTGTAGATCAATCGAACAATTCGTTATCGAAACTGAACCGTGTTATTAATCAACCATATTGCAGTATCAATTGCAAAAACAATCATGGTAAATTTAAATGACTTTTCAATCTTTTTACTTTTATTTCTATTTTTTTTTTTATTATTATTTGTATTTTCTTTCCTTTTCATACGTATTTTGAATAAAAAGTGTGTTTGATCACGCCGCCCCCCCCTCCTACTTGTTTTTCTTTTTCTTTCAATATATTTCATAATACGAAATCGTGTATAGCACACTTCCTTTCTCTCTTACGTGTTTGTGCGTAAACCAAAAAGAATATATAACCTTTTCGATAGCTTTGATCTTTCAAAGATGAAAAGAGAAATATCGATGGTCGGGAATAAACTTTTACATAACCAAGAGAAAATCACACATATATAGAAAATATTTTCCTCTTTCTTTGTACGGTTTATTGTCTCGGAAAATGTATATAACCGCATAACACAAGGGTGGACAACAAAAAATTATGAAACTCCTTACTTTATCTATATATATATATATATATATAAAATGTAGATTTGATATTACATATATTATTATCCAATACAAATAAGACAAACTTTGAAATATAATTAAACAAATATATCTAAAAGATAATAATCAAAATCATCAATATTATATATTGTTTAATAAATTTAAAAACGAACAAGAAAATTTAGAAAATAAATACATATATATATATATATAATTGTGAAAATGGGATTCATAAAAAT